TGAACAGGGTTTAGTACAATCTGGCAGCTTCCTGGTGCGAGGAAGCTGCCTATAAAGGGGTGTCAACAGGTGCAAACAATTGTCACTGATTAGGGTGAAGAGTCCGTAGCTGAGGTGAGACTGTAACAGGAAGTGGTGTCAGAATAAAAGCAAAGGAAACAGAATCATGACGTGCATTGCACTGGGTTTTGGGGAGTAACACTGAATGTAAACATAATGTTGCTCTATTGTTTTACAAGGAAACAACCTTTAAGACTGAACAGTGTATTTTATTATTTATTACTTTATTAGTATATACTGTACTAGCTCTCACTTTAATCTGGGCAGTGTTCACACTTCACAAGAGCTAGCACAAAGTTCAGTCCACACATTACGATCAACTAGTTAGTGTTCATTGTAGCCTTGAATTTTGACATTCACAGTCCCAGTGAACGATCAAGTTCACATTCATTCCAGTGGTGGGAAGTAACTATGTACATTTACCTAAGTGTCATATTTCAGTACAGGTTTGATGTATGGTATTTATACTTTGTATTTTCATTTTGTTTATACCATGACATCACCACAAGCTTTACCTTTCTCAAGCTTTAACTAGAAATTCTGTAATGTCCATAACTTATACCACATTCACACAGGCTGTCTAGAATCTCCTTACACAAAAATACTAAAGCGATGTCTGAGCCACCACACTGTATCTAATGGCAGTAAACTTTGAGTTATTAAGGAAACAGTCTTCACCACCTTCATAGTATAATTTAGACATGGACCCATGGTGTCTCAGCTTATCAATGTGATGGGTTTATCTTTACAAAAGATACTTACTGAAGCCTTTCAGTGTTTCCTCAGAGTAGCCAGTACATTGGCTGCTATATGAAATATACACACTGCCTTCCATTTGGTGTGTTTGACCAAATGTTTGCATGTGTTTGTTCATCTGTGAGTGGTGTTTTATACTGGTGCCAGGGATATTGTTGAATATGGCACAGGTCTATCCTCACATTATCATGGCTGAGTGGGCCTGGGGCTGTGTGATTAAGCAGGGACTCAGTAATAAGCTGCTTATGTAAACATTACTATTGTGCTTCAGCTGCAGCATGCTAAGGCAAAATGATTGCTACCATGGACTCCAAATTATAGTAATGTTCTCAGAGGCTAACTGTGCACAAATGTAACTGTGCTGTTATTGTGTGAAGCATACATACTTACATACGGTACATGGACTCAGCTGGTGTCATACCTCTTATTAAGATTACAATCAATCTGATAAAAAAAAGCACAACGCTGGTAGAATGCAAAAAGATGTGACCAGTCAAGTAAGATTAGACAGTTTGCATGTTTTATTCTAACCTAACCAGAAAAAAACATACTAGGACAAGCAACACAAAGTTTAGCATTATCTTTTTTGTTCACATTTTGAAATTATATATTTTATTGTTACAAAAGGAAAGGATTTGAGGATACAGATTAATCAGGGAAGTTAAGAAACATAATGCTAACTCTGGTAACAAGTTTGATGTTGGAACCAGAACAAATCCAAATCCAATAAAAAGCAGGATAGAACTGCAAACATTAGCCTAAACCTTAATTTGGTTGTAAATATGTTGGTCTTGAAGGTAACGTTTTTCTAATAGAACACAAAATAATTGAACTCTGTTGCCTGACACTAGGATATGACTTTAGGCAGTAGGCTAGTTAGCCAGGCATCCTAAAGTAAACTTTGAATGTCAGAGTAGATAAAATACATTTTAATCAGTTCCTTATGCTTCTGTTCTTGTGTTTTAATTTTGGAATGGCAAGAAAAAGGCTGATGCCATCTGGTGAACACAAATATCTCTCCTATATACAGCAGTCTGCTTTGGTAAACTGGGAAAAGTAAAGCTTGACAGACATGGCATGCCTAATTGTTGATTGACTGATTGGTCAATTTCTGTTCAGAAAAGAGGTTTCTAAAATTGTCAATTTAAGAATCTGTCTGTGTGATTATTAAAAGTCAAACCGGCATTAAAATAAATTTGTAAGCTGTAACATGAAAAACAAAAATAATACCTTCTTTTTGATGCTTTTAAAGACTCTAAAACATCATTACAACAATGACTTTACAAATGTATTTGGACCTCTTGTTGTATTAAATATGCAGCACTTTCAACAGAAGTGTAACTATTCAGCAGTGTGTTAAACAGTTATTTTTGTGATGCTACAGCAAGGCCAGATGAGTCAACAGTACATGACAAAGATATGTAAAAGGGAACCAGTTTTGACCACCCTGCCAGCATATCCACACTCACCTAACCCTAACACCTAACCTTAAGTTATTTTGTCACCCTAAAATTAATGATTTACATCTGGTCCCCAAGCGAAGCCTGAGTACCCACAATGTCAGTGTGTAAACAGGTTTCACTCAATGTGAGTTATAGCAGACATACACACATATGGACAAAGTCATGGTTTCATCATTTCAGGGGACACTAGCTTGACTTCCATTCATTTCCTTACCCTAGTCTTAAGCCAAGTCATCACTCTAATAATAAAACTATTATTTTTGTCCCCATAAGGAAGCCATGTTCCTACAATGTGACAGTGTAGACAGACTTATGTCCCCACAACATGAATAATACTATTCCATACACACTCATACACACACACACACACACACACACAAACACACAGTTACATCTGCAAGCCCTTATAGATAAATAATGCTGTGTGCAGTGGTTATGGATGAAGGTTTGTGTATTTAAAAGGCCCTTGCTGTATTACTACTATTCTGGTATCAGTTTACATGCAAGTACAAATGCAGGGGGCACATCAGAGAGAAGAAAGGTGGATAAGTGACTGGGCTGGTACTGCAGGTGCAAGAGATGTACACAAGACAGAAGCAGCAGGTATAGACATTTCTAACTTTCCAACTAATGTTGCCTCAGCTATTCTCATACCACCACCTGTTGTATTTACTGCATATTATGTAATGGCAGAAGAATAAAATGTCTTAATTTTGTATAATATACATTTTCAATTTCACAATGCTTATGCAATATACATAAGCTGGATATTCTCAGTTAACCTCTGAATGATGTTACATAAAAATCATCATTACACATCAACCTCAAGATGAAGGTGAAGAATCAACCCAAGAAGAGTAAAGTAACATAGAAAGCAGTAAAAGTCCAATCTGCAAACTCCAGTGAAGCACAGGAAGATGAGATGTCCAGTGAGCCAATGAGGAAATAATAAAAAATAATGAATATACTTCCTCCTCAAAGCGTGTTTGTCTGCCTTTGCCTCCCCTGACCCCTGACTATTTCTGTCTTAATTAAAAACAAGAGTGGATCTGGATGCTGCAGAGCTACTTACAGAGGAGCAGAGGTCATCCACACACAGGAGGGTGGGGGGCAGACTCCTGCCTCTTCACTCAGGTTTCTCTCGCCTTCCCAGGTGTCACTCACACAGAGACAAATCCACAAGATGCAGGCAGTTCTGTCACAGTGATGAATGTACAGCTCTGCAGGGAGCTGGGGAAAATGGACTGACCTGGCCACAAGCCCCCTTGACAGCTCACCTTTCCTGAGTCCTCACTCAGAGCAATGCGAGCTGCCTCACTGGCCAGTTAGCAGGAAAAACTAAATAAACAGACAGAGATACAGTAGAGATAGCTCAGGAGAGGAGAGACTGCTGCTCAGAAGGGTTTTATAACCAGCCTGCGGCTCCTCCCCCACTAGTCTCTGACTTTGGTCCTCCCTTGTTGATATGGCAACAGCCAATCACCACTCGGCATAACACCAGCCTCCTCCCCTCCGTCCTTCTCCTCCTCCACCTCCTCCTCAGCCAGCCTCTGTGTTGACAGGCTTGGTTCACACTAGAAAGAGCATGTGTGTGTTAGTGAATCTTAAATAAAGTGTATGTGAAAATGTGTTTGTGTGTAAGGATGCAACATTCATGTATTTATGTGCATGTAAGAGTGTGTCAATATGAATGCAAAGGTGTGACTATGTTTGTATATATGCATATACATGTGTGCTCATGAATACATGAACGTATGTGTACTCATACAGTATACTGTATGTGTGAGAATGCTGTACTCATTCGAGTATGTTTGTGGTTATGTGTGTGTGTTTTCTTAATTAGCAGTTCACCGTTTCTCCATATATTCATACCTGGTGTGATTTCAGTGATCCTGTTAGCCATTCAATTTGCAGCAACTGAGATTGGCAGTTAAAAAACAAACAGACTGGCCACTGACGGCATGAAATACATATAGAGTAGCAGTCTTATTCATGCAGGTAATGCATGGCATGCAGTGTTGTACAAAATATTCTGGAATTCAAGTGCACTTAGAGTTGTTTCACATAGAGTATTGTAATGTTAGGGCGGGAGACATTTTGCGAGATGGTGATATCGCTTCAGGAGATCAACAAACTCATTGCCTGGCTGGAAGTAGAAGTGCCTGGCTGGAAGTAGAAGTGACACTACAACCAAAAAGCTGAATGCCTGGTCTCCCAAAGAGGTTGCTATCCACTTTGCCCTCACCCTGGAAGGTAAGGCTCTGCAGGCCCTTGTTGATCTCCAACCTTGGGAAAGGTTCGACTGGCCAGCCCTGGAGAGGGTGCTGCGAGAGGGTGCAGCAGGACCAGACTGGCCAGCGGGTCTCCGCTGAAAATGCCCAGGACAGGCTGGGCAGCCATCAGTGCAAAGAGATAGAGATTCTGGGTGACTGCGCCACCAACCTTTGCCTCTATGTGCAGTGTGGGTGCCTGATGTTTGACAATGTCATGCTGGAAGAGCTTGCCTTTCAGAATTTCATCTGAGGGCTCCAGCTGGAGGGGCTTCAGGAGGACATTTGTGTCTATACACCATCCAGACCCAAGGATTATATCGAGACTGTAAGCTGAATGGCACCAAATCCTGTTCCTTGATGAACACAAGGTCCACCATCTACACCACCAGGGCCAGCCAGGAGCTTGTCCACACCTACTCTGCCTTCCCGGGCAGTGTGCATGGAAACCAAGTGTGCTGCTGAGGGCTCATACAAGAGGAGCTATGGAAGGAAGAAGTGCCGGTGAGGCTAGTGCACTGAGGTCCAGGACAGCACCACATGACAGTTTGGGGTTGGCAGGATTGTTAAGTACAGTGTCCAGTGTATTCTGTTGTTGCTGTGTTCTCCAGCGGTGTGTAATTAAATAGCGACTCCTTTGAGTGCTACAAAAGGCAGTTTTGGTGTCTGACTCCTTCTTCTAAACTAGCCGACATTACAGTATATTGTGAGGAAGAGTATAACATTCTGTATCCTGTCTCTGCAAGTCTCACTGCTGGTGCAGACAGGTGGAAGCTCGATCTTACAGCACCCAAACCAGACACAGAGTGGGCTCCCCCTCTGCTGACAGCAGCTGAAGACAAGACCTTTAGCCTTGAACTGAGATGTTTAGTTTAATAGTGCAGATGTGTGAGTGATTTTGACACAGTTTTATTGCTGTGAGATGACAGAAAAGGGTTTAAAGTAGAGAAGCAGTTTTCTTTGCAGAATCCAATTTCCATTTTTTTTTAACTCTGATCTGCTAATTCATTTTCTTTCTTTCTAACTGCAACTGAGAGCATACACAAACGTTTCTGCATTTTTTTTTAATAAAATTTTTTATTGTAATTAAAATGAAAATTGATAATAAATAAGTTTTACATTTTCTGTCTTTCTTTCACTCACACGCATCTCAAAATAAAAAAGTGCTCCAGGTTACAGGACAAACTCTTTTTAAAAGAGAAAACTCCAACTAAAAATTACGTGCACTGTTTGTAGTTATTGAAATATAAACAAGTGTAACAGGCACTTAGGCAGCCTAAGAATGTCAGTTATATCAATCCCACTGAACATGTAGTTCATTTTAAACTGTGTGTAGTTTCTATATCGTGTTTTACCATGGGCTGGATACATTGTATTTCAGGTGTAACGAGTTATGTGTAATATGTGTAGCCAGGAGTTTCCCTTTCTAAGGCATTTCTGTGTTTTTTCTACACCAAGCACTTTCAATGTGGGAGTAAACACGCAAGATGCTACACACTGCACATGCTACACTTTCGGTCTGTACCACTGCGTGCGTGACACGGACCATCATGTATGTAAATACGACCAGCACAGAATCAGATATTTCATAGTGATCGGCTGTTCACCAGTCATGGCCGGTCAAGCTAAAAACTGGCCAGTTACGATCTCCATCAGATCAACTGGTGCATCTCTAGTTTTAATCTCATGAAGCATGAGAATGTTTTACAGTCCCAGGCTTACTTCAGTAAAATGTTATTTTCAAAAAGTTTTTTTCATAAAGGAGGATTGAGTTTATTTTGTCATAAAACAACATACTTAAATGATATGACTCAGTTTTGTAATACTGCAACCTTTTCTTGCAAAAATCTAGTAAAATAGCTATGGTCACCAGTATTTGGATTTTTACAAGGTTGCTACTATAATTTATTGCAACAGTTAATTACTGTAAAATGATTAAGAATTGATTTACTGTTTTACAGATCAGTTTAAGACCAGACAGGAGGGTACACCCTGGACAGGTCACCAGGCCTGACACACAGAAACTGACAAACATGGGCAATTTAAAGTCCCCAGTCAGCCAAACCTGCATGTCTTTGGACTGTGGGAAGAAGCCAGGGTACCAGGAGAAAACCCACGCAGGCACAGGGCCCAGTTAGCCGGGAGGTTCGGGCCCAGAACATTCTTACTGTCAGATGACAGTGGCAATCACTGTGCTGCCCCCATTAGAATGCATCATACATTATATATGCACTTATTTTTAGAGGTGTGAAAATGTAGAAGTACTGATTCAAACTCTACTTGAGTAAAAGTAAAAAAAGTACAGACTCTGAAATGTGCTCAAAGTAAACAAGTAAAAAGTTACAGTAGCCCTTCAATGGACATTTATTCTATCTGTTTCTGTGCAAACCTAACTGAGCCTTGTGTGATAATACATTTTCAAGACTATTACATTTTTCTAAATTTAAATAATAATAATAAAAAAAAACAAATAATTAACATTAACTAACAAGAACAGATTTCACATCCAGTTAAGCCTTGAAAGATAAGGTTGGTCATTTTCTAATCCCTCCACAGAGACTGAAACCAGCAATGAACTGCCTTTACTCATGGTTAAAGTCTGTCAGCCTCCAACCTGGATCAGCTTGTTCATATGTGCCATAGGCTCCACTGTTGTTCAAGGGTGATTAAAACACATCAGTGAAACACAGCTCTGGTTGATGTGTTTGTTCATTACAAAGCTCAAGACCAGTATATTTGTTAAAAAATGTTGCCCCAAAAGCTCCAAACAACCATGACTTTTTACAGTGTTAGAAGGAAAACAAGACTCAGTTGTGCATGTGCAAGGTCTTTGTGAAAGTGCAAGGAGCTGTACTGTATTGTAGTGAACTGTAAACAAAGCATAGAGCTGGTAATGAGCTGGTAAAATAAATGAGTACAGATATCTGAAAATTCTACAGTATTTATTTACTGTAACAAAGTATTGTACTTTGTTACTTACTATAAAGAAATCTCCTGATAATCAGACTAGAATCCCACATTCATGTTACCTGTGTTCTGTTTGTGCAGGGCTCCATTCTTGGCCTCACCAAACAGTAGCAAGTGGCAGATGGTCCTAACTCCAGTAGTGCCATTCTTCTCTTAAATGTGGCTGCACTGATTTACATAAAATCTCACAAAATCAAAACAATCCACCTCCCATACTGGGCTCAGTTGGAATCGAATTTCCAGTCCTGCATATGTCAGCTCTCTTTTTCAGCCCTCTCTTTGTCTGTTACACAGACATACTGTATATGAAGCGTTTACTCCAACCCTCACGCCACTTCCATGTAACAATGAAAAACCATTCTGGCAGTGGTGAGTCAACAACTATCACAGTCCATTTGCAGACTTTTTCAATAGATTGCTGTGTATAAAGAGTTATTGTGGCAGACCACTGTGCATGTGCTCTGTAAAGTGATGATTAATGGCAGCAGCACTATGAAACATGACCCACTGATCAGGATCAGTGTTTCAGGCCGCCCTTGTACTTTGAAACAGTCCTCACACAAACACAGACACATAAGTTATTTGCCTGACTGAGAGTCTGAGAGTTGTGAGTTTTTATTTATGTATTGTATAGTATTACTGTTTAGCTCTGTCCAGTACAAGCTTTGATTTACTTTGGATTTGGTTATTTATGTATATTTGAGTATATTAGGTAGAAGTGTGCTTGTATGTGTGAATATCACATATTTAATAACTGTATTTTTACTGTGTATGAAAATGCTTTGTGAGATACTGATCAATGCTTTATACTTAGCCCAGTAAAATTAAACAGTAAATACACAGAAGAGGGATCATCGTGAACCAGTGGTGAAAAAGTAGCTTAGTACATTTTTACACTGTTTGTTCCACAAATTAGTACACAAGGTAATATTCATACAGTAACAAGAGATATGCTGTGAAAGGCAACATGCTGAAGGATTATCATGTGGCTTTCTTTGAAGAGTACAGATTTCTTCATCACAGTATAATTCATCAGGAGGAAACCGTTTATAATTTGTGTACTCATCATTACAGTGTTACTGAAAGAGATAAACTAAACAGCCTGAAGTTTACCTTGCATATAGAGAT